ACATGTATTCTAGCCCTACCTTAGCCCTACCATTACCCAGGATGCCATCTATTTTCCATTCACAAGTATATGGAAAAGATCAATTGAGGAAAACATTGGGAAAATTTGGAGGCATTGGAAATGAAGTCAATTTACATTTCCATCAATATTATAAGTATTTTCCTCACAGGTTATGTACATACAAATTCAAACATGAAGATGCTTTAACACGTAGTCCGATATTGTCAATATAAGTTGAGGATAGCTGTAGGCATTTTGTATTCAGTTCATTATTCAAATGTTCATCTCCATAAAGTATAAATTCTATTTTTTGCTTTCTGGTTTTTCCAAAATAATACATAATATCAGAATTATCTAAGTTCAGTATGTTCTGTATGTATTCATTTCTGTGTATGGCGGTTATAGGGCAGTCAATGAAAAGATGTATCTTATCTTGATTCCGGTGGATGCAGGGGCAAGAGGGATCTAAGCTATTGTTAAAATTATGTTTAAAAGTTATTTTTAAGAGCAATGTCGCTTCTAGGTTTAGTATATAGTAAGTTTAGTTTCGGAAGACCTTTTTAAATTAAGATATTTGGTTAAAATATTCTTTGCATGAAATTTTTATTTCTTATTAGAGTTCTTAAAAAATGGTAGGGTTGGTGATGTTTGTATTCAGTTGGAAGACTACGCCAAGTGGAGATTGGGTTTTTGGCTGTTGAACTCAAATATTTCGTAGACGCTCTAGTGGATAAAACATATTCTTTCGGGATCATTGTTTTAGTAGTAAATGAATAGCACTCAGCAGGCCCGTAAGACACTTTTCTCCAAGGGGGTGCGGTTTTAACTAAAGAGAAAATAAAGTTGTTGTTGTTGTTTAATAATTTATTTAAGTCTCACGCTAAAATACATATACAATAAATAATACTAAAAAATACATAGCCCAGCCGGCATTCGGCTTATGAGAGACTGAAACATTCATTTTAAAACATGAAATAATAAATAATTTAAAGTGTAAAATCAATGTCAATCAATGAAATAGTTTTTTCTGTTTAAAAACATGCTATTAACAGTTTTTGCCAATGTTCTTGTGATGTTTTCATTTGTAATAAGAGTGCAATATTTAGCCAAACTAGAGAGCGAGTCAAAATTGATAATGTGAAGTCTTGCTTTTTCAAATAAGTCAGTCCTTAGAGTTTGATGGATTGAACAGTCTACGAGAAAGTGTATCTCGTTCTCAACGACGTCACGCTCACACATACATTTACGCTCGTTAACAGGGACACCGGTGTATCTACCAGTCTCCAATCTCAGTGGCAGTGTACCCGTTCTGAGTTTTGCCAGATTTGCACGTTCATATCTGTTAAGGCTAATGCGGAGATAGTGTTCAGGCTCTGTTTTGTGTGCCTTGTGGAGCCGATATGTCCTTAGCTTATTCCCGTTTTCCTGGTTCCTGGAGTCGTTCCATATGGAGTTGTGCCAAGTTATATGTTGTTTTGAGTTTAAGTCAGATCTATACTTTTTAATTTCATATTTCACTGATGGGATATGGTCATCCGTTAAAAAGTGATCAGCTTTTTCTTGTTGTAATTCCAGCTTAACCTTAGAGTCCCATGATCGTGGTTGCGTTAAGGACCAGTTGTGGATTGTTTTTGTGATTCTGTCGTTATTCATATTTTTAAAACGACACCACTGCCTGGCCTTTTCAATTTTTTGTCGGACATTTGGGTCAGTCCAGCACATGTCCCCGCGTGTTGCATCGTTCGGTGCACATTTACCGACTCCCATAAAGAAATGCTCGGCTTTGTTTTGGACTTTAACTGCTGGTGCTCCCGAGGTGATGTTTGCACTCCATGTGCCGGCAGCATATAACAGAATTGGATCGACCATTGAGTCGTAGAGCTGGGTATAGACGTTATAGTTCATTCCTCCTTTAAGCCGAAATTTTGTCATAATTGCTCCTAATGCACGTGTGGCAGATTTGGCAAGAATGGATACCGATTTAGACATGTCCATATGCTCATTTAAGGTAAGTCCCAAATATTTGTATTGTCCAACGTATTCAATGACACTGTCACCACATCGAAATACGAACAGGGACCGCGGGTGATCCTTCGGACGATGGTGGATAATGTTCGTTTTCATAGCATTAACAGTCATCCTCCATTTGCAGCACCAAGTATACATGGCATTTAACATTGCTTGAAGATTTTGCTCTGTTGGAGCTATCAAGGCGATATCGTCCGCATAAAGCAGAATCCCGACATTTGTGCCATCAATAGGTACTCCCATATGTAGGGACTGTATCTCGTCGGCTAGATCATTGACGTATAACGAGAAAATTGTCGGAGATAGCTTACAGCCTTGTTTCAAGCCAGTGCCTACGTCAAACCAGCTTGTGAGCGTTGAATTTATCCTAACTGAGTACTGGACACCAACATATAGTGATTGGATTGCACTAAGTATTCGACCTTTAACTCCTGCTATAGATAGTTTGTACCACATGCATTTCCTATTTATTGTATCAAAAGCACGTTTTGCGTCCACGTAAGCCACAAAGGTAGGTTGGTGGGCAGTTTTACGATTATTAATAATTAAAGTTGTCAATTTCTTGCCGCGTAATTCAAATTGCGTAAGTCAAAGGGGGGGGGGGTCGGTTACTTCCCATATTTTGTAGTATTTTATTGTTTTCGTATTGTTTTTAGACTAAATATTGTATGAGCAATTTGGAGAAACACTGGAATAGGGGGAGGGTGTACTAGAAGGGCATAAATGCCCGAGAACTTTTAACAGTTCAAGATCACATTCCGTGATTTCTGGACCCTTTCAAGGTGTTTTAATTGAAGAAATAGAACAAATTTATAAGAAATTCAGATTTTTTCAATTATTTTCTTCTTAGGGGAGCAGCAAGGAAAATTTTACTAATTCAAGATGCTGTCGGGTTAATTCTGAGCACTTTTAATGTGTTTGAGTAAATGAATGCTTTAATTTTTGGGGTGGGCTGCCAGAAATTTTTATGTTTTTATGATTTCATTATGTCCTGGTGACTTCTAGGCAATTTTAAAGTGTTTAAAATTAACAAATGCAGCTTCCAAACTTGTGAGGAGTGACCCACTCCCCCTAGAAAATTTTACACTTTTGAGAAAGCCATTTGGTGCTTTCTGGGCACTTTTAAAGTGAATGTGCCAATACATTTTTTTTTTTCAAATTTTTTTTTGGGATGTCAAAGAGAATGAGAGGGTGAAGTGGGATGGAGTGCCAGAGGGGGAGCAAGGGGTTGTCCCCAAGAAACAATGACCATATCAAGGTGCCATTTGATCATGTCTGGGCACTTTAAAAATGTCTGAAACAATACATGAAATTCAAAATTTTCTCAATTGTTTCGTGGGGGATGTGAGGGGTGGCCAACTCTTCTAGAAAATTTTACAATTTTAAGATGATATTTGGTGCTTCTGGGCACTTTTAAAGTGTATGAGTCAATCGAAAAGAAATTGAAAAACTATTACATTTTTTCAATTATTGGGGGTGTCAAAGGGGGATGCCAGAGGGGGAGGTGGGATTAGGGTGCCAGAGGGGGAGCAAGTGTTTTCCCCCATATCTGCCCCCAGAAACATTTACCATATCAAGGTGCTATTTGATGAAGTCTGGGCACTTTAAAAGTGTCTGAGACAATGCATGAAATAAATTCAGAATTTATGTCAATTGTTTTGTGGGGGATGTGAAGGGTGGCCTACTTCCCTGGAAATTCTACAATTTTAAGATGCTATTTGGTGCTTTCTGGGCACTTTCGAAGTGTATGACTCAATAAAAAATTTGAAAAAATCAAACAATATTTTGGGGGATGTCAAAGGAGGAGAGTGTGCCAGAGGGGGAGGTGGGGTGGTAATGCAAGAGGACGGGTAAGTGTTAGTCTCCAAGAATCATTGACTATATCAAGGAGCTATTTGATGATGTCTGGGCACTTTACATGTGTCTGAGACAGTGACGTAGCGTCATATACGCATAAAACGCCATATCGTACTCTCAACGTTTAGAGAAAAGTGACTTTTTGATATTGAAATGACCCACGTTTAATGTTCTGAAGTAATGGCCTAACATTTTATTAATCCATATTATTTTTTCGTAGTCGGAATTTCATATTTTAAAACGCCCCAGAACGCTTCAAATGCAATCTAATTTTTTCAAATTCAAAGCTCAAAGCTCGTTCGCTTCGCTCACTCGTGACGTACACTCATAAAATACCCACGCTACGCCACTGGAGATGATACATAAAATAAATTCAGAACTTTTCGATTGTTTTGTTTTGGGTGTGAGGGGTGGCCCACTCCCCCTAGAAAATTTTACAGTTTTAAAACACTATTTAGTGCTCTCTGGGCACTTTCAAAGTGTATGAGTCAATTAAAAAATTGAGAAAATCACATCAATTTTTTGGAGGGGTGTCCAGGGGGGTGAGGGTGCCAGAGGGGGAGGTGGGGTGGGATAGGGATCCCGAAGGGGAGCAAGTGTTAGTCCCCTAGAAACATTGACTATATGAAAAAGCTATGTGATGATGTCTGGGCATTTGGGCACTTTAAAAGTGACTGAGACAATACATAAAATAAATTCAGAACTTTTCCATTGTATTGAGGGGGGTGTGAGGGGAGGCCCACTCCCTCTAGAAAATTTTACAATTTGAAGATGCCATTTGATGCTTTCTGGGCACTTTAAAAGTGTATGAGATGATGAAAAAAAAAAATACAAAAAAATATTTTTCAAAAAAAAGTTTTTTTAATTAAAAATTAAAATTAAAAATTTTGGGGGGTGTCAAAGGGGGGTGCGGTCGCACCCATCGCACCCCCCCCCCATCTGACGGGCCTGCTCAGGTAGTAATAAATTAGCACTCTGGCAAAAGCGCGCTCATTAGCACTCATACATCCGTTTACTGAGATGAACATCTCTGATAGGAAAATACACTAATTGTATAATGTTATCTTCTGTAATTAATAATAAATATAAAATAAAATGAACATGAATGGATTTAAGTAGACTGATTCATGAATGGATGCAATTATTGCACAAACATAACTTAATTGTGAAAGAGGTAATTGTATATATTGGACATAGTCATAATTCGTAAGTAATAATGAAGACTGCGTTTTCCCATACGGGAGAGGCACACATTCCTAATCCACAGCAGTCACTATTTGACGATCCTTTTAGCGTCCAGTAAATCCCTTAATATTCTAAGTATATCTGGACTGAAGCGATTTCGTATCACATTAGTGTCTAATCTGCAGCGTCCGTCATATGCACACGACTCTGAAGATATAAGAATAAGACATTATTATTATTCCCAAGTTTATTGGGAATACCAGAGAATATTAGTAATACAATTGTGATGAAAAGCAAGATCTACATGTATTCCGATAATGCTAGCTACATAGGTCAATGGTTAGAATGAGATGATCGAGCAACCAAAAAAGAGTCATGCAGTGTCTGTTTTCAACAATTGAAATTAGTAACGATATAATTTCAAATATATATGATAACATTTTACATGATAACATGTCTTAATAATTTGTATTTTAACTTTTCTCATGTCTGGAAATGAGGGTACTTATTGAAATCATGATTTGGATTGAATTTCACTTCAACTGCTTTGTTAATTTGTAACGTCAGTAGGGTTGGAAACTAGGAATACAGGTTATGAGCTGTACTACTCTGTTGATACTGTGTATAAATAAGAAGGTGGGACACTCAATAGAACCTTTAATTTGCTAATTAGCTTCCAAATCTCATTACATTTAGGACGTGATTTTCCTTTATTAATGACATATTTGAATTCTAAGCACTATTATCTATTGGAAGAACTTTGATTTTAGCCGCAAGAGTTGGACTTCTGCAGTTTGTCTTCTAAACATACAGTGTGACATCGTACACGGACTGAATAAGACAAATCGCAGATGTCTATTTTGTATCAGCCAATCAATCACGATATACCTATTGGATTAAAGAGGCAGCAAAGTATAGAGAGCGTTAAATGTTGTGAGCAATATTTTTCAATAAACATGTCAATGTGTGGCAATTAGCCAATTAGCATCCAAACGAATACTGAAAAGATAGATTGTGGATCTAAATGAAGAACCAACAAGAAAAACGCGATCGCCTTTGCAAAATAAGAACCACAAAAGTACCACATACCGACTTGGGCAAGGCTACACATAACTTAAAAGTATAGGATTTTCATTAAACCAAGTAATCATGAGGTTTGAGCATAACAAGGAGTGAATCAAAGGTCAGTTTTGAAATAGATAAATGCTCTTCTCATTGCTATAAATCCTTGGTGTTTAATATACAAATATCAACCATTCTTTGGCGTTTTTAATATCAGTTAAATAAAACAGTGGTATTGTAACTTACCTGTGTTGCAGCAGATATTCTCATCAACACAATTTCCACCATTCACTTTTTCACATGGTGATCCATAAACCTGACAGAGTACACGATTATCATTCTCATGCCTACATGGTTTAGCTTCGATAGTACCAATGTAGCATCCCATACCAGGCATGCAGCATATATTTGGTCCTATACATTGGCCCGCATCATTTGGTCCACATGCCATACACTGCAATGAGCAAATGACATACAGACACGGTATGTTATTGCAAATACAGTACATATGGACATAACCAATGTGACAAAAATATCTATGATTGAACGCAAAAAGAAAATATGTCAACAATTCCTCATTTTCCAAGAACAATTATGACAAGAACACGGGACATATACAATACATTGACCAGCATCATATGCTCCATATGGTATTATTACCACCTTGCCGGGCCAGTTCTAGGGGTTTAAGTGCTCGAAGGCTTTCATTTTACTTTATTATGCACCTCATTAAAATACTCAAATCTGATTGGTTCTTAGTTGCTTGTAATTTGGCAATACTCTGCTCTTTTCTGAAAACTGCCGGATATTTTTTTAATATCTGACCCTTTCGAGAAAAAGGGTCGGATATTTTTTTCAATGTTTTTGCAACATTCCCACTTCAGAGTTTTATTTCTTAATAACTGGAGTACTACTTAAAGCTTAAATCTGAAACTGGCGGAAAATAGAAGAAAAAAATGCACTTAATCAATCAAAATTACCTTTATCATTCAAAAGTTACATATAATTCTGCAAGAACGTCTCGAATAAATAAAAATTAAATTCCCGGGGCAAATATTTTCCTCCAGTGTAGCGAATAAACTGGCCGGAAGTCGTCTGAGTTTTGAAAGAAAAAATTAATAAATGTCAAAATAATGTCAACTAAACGACAGTTCAAGCCTGTACTCCAGTAAGTACTCCACTTAACTTTGATTGGGAGGTGCATAATAAAACAAATACTGGATGATCAGGAGCTGGATATGGCCAGAATACCTATCCTCGAAAAAATATTGGGCTCGGCTGCCGCCTCGCCCAATATTTTTTCTCGAATAGGTATTCTGCCATATCCAGCTCCTGATCATCCAGTATTTGTTTAATATCGACCTAAGCAATATGTGACGTCATAGTGGAGGTTTTCCCCTGGAAATTAGATATCGTTCAGTGCGTAAGATTTTCTTGCTGTTTCAGTCCTGGTCATTAACGGTGGTAATAATACTAATAACGTTATTTCTGCGGGCAATATAGGCGTATTTTACTCCGAGGATGGTTGTTCTATCATAACTTCTTACAACATTTAGCAAAGGATTAGTCCGGCATAGTCTCGATACTGTTGGAAACTTCTTTTTATTTTCAATTGTCGTAATCGTTGTTCTCTCTTCAAAAGAGAATTGAGAATTGAATTTTGTCCTTTTTGAGGGCTTTTTAAGTACATACTTTCGTACTTTCTCGATTAAAGACCGAACCACGAAAGGCTTAATTCACGCGTCACTGTTTTGTTTAAATAAAAAAGAAATATTTAAAAATGTTACTTGGGAACGGACCGAAGCTGGGATGATTCAAAGCAGATCGTTTACATTAGATTATCAAAATATTTTCATATATGGTATTCAAAGCATCACATGAGCATTTAACATCCTTCACTTAATGCTTAATTTTTGGCAAAACATAATATTTTGACACTTCTTGAAAGGATTAAAACTGAGAAAAAATGGGTGAACGTGATTTAGAAATATTTTTAATTGAATTTCTGGACATATTGGCCAATTTTATATGTATTTATAAAAAATGAAACCAACAATATACATTTCCCTAGAAAAACCAACACCAGCATGATTGGCTGATGGAATTATAAAACACAAGACTCCAAAGCATTGTTCTGTTGTTTCTCTTACTTTCTACAAGGTTTAAAATTACTTCAAAATGCCATATTAGCCTTAATTACCCACGCCTAGTACTAGTAGTTTATCGTTACAGAACAAAGCAAGATTCCAATTTCCAATAATCTTGCATGAATCAATAAAGTTGTGACACCTCAGTCCTTACTCACTCAAACATCACGCGAATAATATAGGAGGGGGATCGGGTGCTTAGTACATCGAGCACACGATACGTGCTTAACACATCTGTTACATACGCTATATATGTCAGGCCCGTAGCCAGGGGTGGCTCTGGGGGCTCGGACGAGCCCCCCCCCTGATATCTCCTAAAAAATGTGGACCTACCTTTTTGCTTCCTTGAAGAAAAACGTGCTCTTCCCCACATTCACTGGGCAATTAAGATTAAAAAACTGGCAGTACTGTGCATTGTTTTTTGGATTTGGCATTATTTTTTAAAATTTGGCCCAATTTTTTTGCGGACATACGTGTATTTGTGTCCCTTTCCCTCTGTTTTTTAGGATCGTCCTTTTTGTTTTGTTAAAAATGGCCTCCTGGCGGTTACAGGAGGGGGGGGGGGGCATGGTTCAAGCCCCCCCCCCCCCCTAGAATGGGCTGGAAAAAATGTTGGCCCAAAAATATTGTAGGGCCTCTTAAGAGGGCCTTTTTGGGCATTATTGTACCTTTTTGGGCCTTATTTATTTCAATGTTAGGCCAAATTTTCAAAAAGGGCTATAAATTTGCAGAATTTTGGTTTTAGGGCCCTAAAAATTTTTACGTGCGGCCCTACTATAGGCCCAGAAAAGATGTCGGGTCAAAATTATTGTAGGGCCTCTTTAGTTGGCCTTTACTTGACCTTTTTACTTGACCTTTTTGGGCCATATTTTTTTCAATTTTAGATCAAATTTTAAAAAAATGGGCCATAAATTTTTAAAATTTGGGTTCTTGGGCCCTAAAAGGGACATTATCAGGGTAATATGGGTCATTGTACAAAGAGGTTTGATGTCGAGACATTCAATTGTAAGATTTTTTTTGCTTTGTGAATTGGTGCATTGTGGAGTATGCAATATTGACTTTCCTATTAATCCAGGGACTTTTAAGCACTTATATAATTTTTCTTTGATTACACTACATAGTGACATTACATAGTTATGATTTGCATCAGCGATATCATTATACTAAAGAGAATAATATTGCAGCATGCATGTAATATTGAACAAAACAAAATATTGATAGGAAATACAATAATAAACACCATTTCAAATGGTTAATCAAATTCTAGCGATTTATGACAATTTCGCGATATCATGGAACTGCTCCGTATACCCCTGACCACCGTGTTACGAAAAATCAGCGAAAAATTATATCCATTTATTTATTTTCAGCCATTTTAGGTAACATTGATTTGTCCATCTGTCTCGCAAAATCCACTTTTGGACCATTTACCTTAAACCCTCTGTCGATAGGATTCCCATTTTAAGTTAATTTTGTTCAACATCAATACAAAAAACTCTCCTATGACTCTTGGTTCAAAAGCTCGCCTATTTTCAAAATGGTTGCCATTCTTGTTTCGCGAAATTTACTTTTTGCCTATTTCCTAGCTTACAAATAATTTCAGCTGTCCTGCATTGTAAAAAGCCATGTCACTGTAAAGAGTAGTTGTATGAAATAATTTTGTTACAAAAAATCTGCAAAATATTATATCCGTTTTTTATTTTCAGCCATTTTAGTTAACATTTATTTGTCCATCTGTCTCGCGAAATCCTCTTTTGGGCCATTTGCTTAAAACCTCTGTCGATAGGATTCCAGTTTCAAGTTATTTTTGTTCAACATCAATACAAAAAAACTCCCCTATGACTCCTGGTTCAAAAGCTTGCCTGATTTCAAAATGGTCGCCGCCATTTTTGTCTCGCGAAATTCAATTTTGGCCCATTTCCTAGCTTTACAAATAATTTCAGGTGTCTTGCATTGCAAAAAGCCATGTCACTGTAAAGAGTAGTTGTATGAAAAAACTTTGTTACAAATTATTGGCAAAAAATTATATCCGGTTTTTTTCAGCCATTTTAATTGACTGAGACACAGATGGCTTGAAGTAATTTTGAAACAAAAAATCAGCAAAAAATTATATCCATCTTTTTCTGTCACCATGTGAGCCCAGTACCCACGGTACTAATTTTTTACCTTCGGAAGGTTACTGAAGGTCAAAGGACAAAAGTGATGTCAAATTTGAACTCCTGAGGTCTTGTAAATGATTTAAAAAAAGGTTTGATCAATTTGAAGCAATGTGAAATTTAACCTTGACAAATTTCAAAATTTGACCTTTTTCCAGTTTTTGAACTCTAATATCTCAAAACTGGTGAAATATTTTAATAAATAGCCAATAGCTAATATGCGCATAACCTTTAGAGGAATCAACATCCTGAATTTCATACAAAAATATTGATTTGTAGTCTCGAATTTTGAGAAACATGAAAAACACAGTTTGTGATTTAATTTGATGACCTTGACCTTTGACCTTGGAAATCCTACTTTTTAGACCTCAGTAGGTTTTTGTGATTACATATATCAAAATTTGCTTTCACCCATTCTGATACTCATCACATCTTTCTATCTTCAACCAGAAACTCATGATGGGTTTCACCGTAAACGATGTAAGTATAGCACGATACCTATAACATATAAGCTGTAACTGATTTGTCACAGCAAAGAATGTTAGCATGATAATAATGAACACTGAAAATCTACTATTTGCTTTATATATATTTATTCTTTGAGATGCGCTTATAATATTTGGGATGTTTACTCATTCATGAAACATCCGTGATGCTTTGCAAACATATGGGACACCTTGTGGTCTGGTGGTAGGTCACATAAACAAGTATTGTTCTGTCTGTCTGTTTACGATGTTTTATCCGGTGAGGTTAAGCATAAGTTGATGAAATGTTATATTTTTACCTATACGTACATCAATTCTTCAAAACAGGCGATGAAGTTTTCCATGTTCCAAATGAGGTTAGATATTTGGTATACTTTAATTGGCATATGTATATGTTACCTGGTTGGGTTGGCTTACTAGATGGAATCTGCATGATTGTCCCTGTTGTAAGACCTCGAACTCTTGCTACATAATTTGGATACTTGTCTCTTTGAATATTTTTAGAACTCTTTTAGGTTTTCCTCATTTGTAAACGATTATGGACTTTACTCCATGGAAGTCCATGGAAGTCCATGGAACCATGGACAGAGCACAATGTTATTTAACGAGAGTCTGAGTTAACAGAATGACCACAATCCATTATGTCATTCGTGAATTACTTTGCTTGTATTCGCGAATACAGCTAACGGATGAATACTATTCGATTCGATTCATATCTAAATGAGCTGGTCATAAAACAAAAGGTCAAGCCGGTAGTCGACAGTCGCCAATACAAGCTAAGTCATAGTTTGGTTAAACAGTATGTTGTGGATTAAAAACCAATAACATACCAGTCTTGCATTATGCCTCTGCCCAACCTACATTATTATTCTCTATGTTTGGGGGTACACGAGAAGCTTGACGCAAGACTACAAATACAGTGTGCATATACATACTAAAAAGTTATACTCACTGGATGGTTACTGTGTGTGTCCATCGATCGTTTACCTCCAGGTGGGCAATTGGTGATGAAACACCCTGATGTCTCTGCTACACAATATAATAGTACCACAATGCCAACCCACGCCTGGTGCCATACTCCAACAGATATCATAGTTTCACTGCAAGAAAATATGTACTTCTGTTTTTAATAATATTCTTACAAAAGACAAATATTTAAAGTAACCTAAAATGTGTGAAAATTTTAGGTCAATTTTAGGTTAACACTGTTACCAATAGATTAATGGACCAGTGTTTACGGTACGAGGGTGGTTAAACACTCTTAGCATCACAAATATATATGAGTTAGGGCACGTGCATCCTCCTAAGCAGGTATCCAGAATCCGTACCTCCTGTAAAAAGAAAGAATATATTCTGGATTTTGAAGCCCTGTGGTCGGAGGTTGGGGCACGTGTTTCCAAGAATTGGAAACACAGATCCTCGTGATCAAAAGCAAACGTCCGTTGGGCTTTTTGAAGCATACTACATGGTAGTTTGTTCCTAAAACGGGATTATATTGGTAAATCAATTTAATGCTTAAAGTCCCCGTGTTATGTTTGAAAATATGCCATTCACGCATGTCGGCCATCTTGGATACCCAAGAAATAGTAAAAATGTGTTAAACTCGAAAAATAAATGTTCGTAAGGACCATAGGCCCTTATTATCTTTTTTAAAAATCAAACCTATGAAAAAGATGTCATTAATACTTATTCTATATATGTTTAAACTAGAACTTAACGTTAAAATATATGTTTTGTATTCATTTTGTTTACATAGCAAACATTTTGCGACTTGTGTATGTTTTGTTCGAAGAAAAAAATTGATAGAAATATGGCGAGTTTCAAAGACTCTCGTCATTTCAATACACGAAATTATGTTTTTCTAGTGACATTCAACTAGATTTTTTATAATGTCCTAAAAGCATTGCCCTTATACTACATATACCATAATTTTAAGTTCAGTTGCATTGCTGTGCATGTATTTGGACCAGGTAATATGACTTGGTCAAATTCAGCATTCTTTTGTCCTAAAATAGTTTGATGTTGTAAAAATTGATTAGGGTGTTTTTAATAGCAGTCTAAAATGATATCAGGAAAACAAATGATAACATATTTGGTATGTAGAGAATGCTTATAGCCCATATTTTATGATTCATCACGTTTAACATCTTTAGATCAAGCTAAGTATGAGATTGTGCGTGAAAGAGAATTGTCCAATCTCGATTTTTTTCCTTTGAATTTTAGTAGGCTGAATCCAGGGAAGAAAAGAATGAATATAAACTCAAGATTCCAATCATATATCACATGACTATCATCCCGTCTTAGATCTTTAGTTACTAGTATTGTTTAATATGTGCGTGACATAATTTGTCCCATCAACGATTTTTTTTACAAAAATAGAGAAATACGACGTCATATCAGCGCTGCAGCAAATCGTGAAGAACAACATATGAAATGCTCTCAAGTCGTGGCATGATAGTATTTTGAACAAAATATTTTAAATGATCGGTTTTTAGGACGGTAGTGAATTAGACCATTCAGGGGGTTATATAGAAAGATTCTTCACATGTAGTTCAGGCAATTTTAATTATTCTGAGTAGCGAATAGTCATTAATACTGATAGCGGAAAATTAACGCGTTCATATTTAATTTCGTTATTTTATTTCAATTTGATACCCTATTAACACGTATAATCTAGCGTTCTTGTTAATTTAATGACTAAAATGCAAACTGAAAGGCTGTGTCTAAATCTTCAAAATAATGTTTACTTTATTTGGATTAAATAACAATTGATGACACCTCAAAGCATCAACAGGCGGCCGTTTTAGCATTATTTTCACTGTTTGCAACGTAAATGTACACATGAGATCGGGACATAATATGAGTACTTTCTTACCTCCATTAGCCAGCATTGAATCAAACTTTCAGGGACAATCAAACAAAACGCACTTGTAACTTTAATTCCCGAAATTCGTTATCACACTAACAACTAAGTACAGCTTTTTGTTATGAACTGAAAAAGTTAGCCATTAATACACCATACCATTAGAAAGCCTCACATATTATACTCTTTGATCGAATTTATACCAGATTGAAATCAAGCTTTCATGGACCTAATCTCCCTCATAGAATAATTGTGAAACTTCCAAATTTTAGTGACTTTTAAAAATGTTGATAAGGGGCTTGTTCCCTCGTGTAATTTTGTCATGTAATTTTGTCTGTTTTTTCTATTATCAAAGTTCAATGCGTTACGAATTCTGAATCCCAAAAACGTGTGTTTGACTTCTGCTGGAAAGGAGATTAAATAATACAAGATAAGCTTTCTAATGATGTACTGTGACTAGCTATTTCAAATCATAACATGAAAATGTATGTAGTGTTGTCAATTAGCATTACCATAATAATCTGGCATTCGATGCGTTACATTTAATTTATTACTACCCGAACGTTTGATTCAATTCCGCTAGAAAGGAGATTAAAGAAGACAAGATAAGCTTTCCAATGATGTGCTGTATAAAGTGACTAGTTAATTCAAATAATAAAAACGTTCGTAATGTTAACAGTCTGCAAAAATATTTTGTCATCTTTTACGTAAGTTCAATGAATTAAATTAAATTTTACACTTCCTGAACGTTTGATTCATTTCTGGTGTGAAGAAGATTAAAGAGGACCATGTCAATTCTCCGATGATGTGCTGTATTCTGGGGCTAGCTATTTCATATCGTAGAAACTGTGCGTAATGTTGTTAGTCTGCGAAAATATTTCGTCATATTCATGAAGTTCTATGCGCTTCACTTTCTTAGTTTCTAATGTTACGCAGTAAGTTTGATAACAATATAAGTTCTGAACAATTGGGTTTGGGGGGTTTTCCCCCAGAAAATTTTGAAAATTGAACATCATTTGGTATACATTCTGACCAATTTCAGAGCGTAGGTCCTATTTCCGGGTCGGATTTCAGCGTATGTAATGCGTTATTGACAATCCATAATCATCTATTTTGATTTCAAGTTAAAATTCTGACTTTCAGGGGGCGCCCCCACGCCCCCCTCTAGATCCGCTAGTGGTATACAACTCCTTGGCAGCGTATACAACTCTTTGACTTGATATACAGATCATGGTTGATTCTGTATACTCTCGTAAGTATATGATATATTTACTCGTTCCCTTTGGTCACTCGTGAATATATCATATACTCACTATACACGATATACAGAATCAACCATTATACACGGTGTTGAATAAGTACTTATAAAAATGCTGTAATCTTTTTCATTTTTTATATTTCTGACTAAATGTTCTACTGTACATTGTTCAGTATTGTACTGATGTACTATGAGAGATACAAGAATGTTCTTTAACAGGAACGGTAGTACTGGGTGGAGCCCAAGGTGGTTCGTCGTGGTTCAGGTCTGCACGAAATTTTCAAAATAACTGACTTAAAATCTGAATAGAGAGGTTTCGCACAACGGGTTAGCTAAAACGTATCCGCATCCGTATCTCGTTGCGTTTACGGATACGTATTTCGATAATTTTCGTTTCGCAGTTGTTTTTTGAAGTACGTAATTATGAAAGCATCTCAATCCGTATTTAATTGTAGTGAAAACTAGGGTCAAATAAAATACTTCATCTGCACAAAGATTTCAATACACCATTGGGAGTGTCAGCTTTCAGAATCACAACTCAATAAGTATTTTTGGAGAATGCAAAAATACATATTAACCCTTTCATCCCCAAGGAGTCATTTATTAAATTCATGAAATCAATTTCAAGATGAAGAATATCCCTTAGGCCAGAAAGGATTATTTCTAGGTTTACAATAACCAATTCAGTGTCAAGTTGTACTTTGGGGAATATTTAAGGGTTTGAATACAGATAGGCTGAAATAGTGCAGTGACTGCATTATGCTACAAAATGCGTAAACATTTCTGTTTTCGGTAGAAATGATATTTAATATTTGAAATAAGTCTGTACATTTGCGTTTACTTATTTTATCCTGGGAATATTGCAGCAAGTGCGTTTTGACTTAACATGAAAGCATGCATGCTTGACGTAACATCATCACATCCCTTGACTTCTTTATCTTTTCAAATATGCCCTTATAATTATACTTATCAATGCTATAATTACTTCCAAATGAGCACACGCAATCGAAACAAATGGTAACAGTGATTCACTATGTCATATAAAGCTTGGGTGAAATCCATCCTGTCAAATATTTGACCTCTATTGCAACCCCTGTTTACTCATATAGCATCTTTTTATCTCACTCAAAAGTAGAATTCCATCTTAAAGGTGCAACGATCATCGACCAGTGTCAAAATATATTTAAGTTTGAATATTTCATCAAGACGAACATATATTTTTATTATCTTCAAAGAAACCCCCTGGATGAACATTATTTCAGCTGAAACTCCTCTTGAAACGTGGTGGATCTTAAAAATCTATAAGTGGGACTTAATAGAAGCTTTGAACTGAATTGAACTGAATACACTTCTTAATGCTGAAATTGATAGTTTGATAGAAAATAGGATGTTAAGCCAAATATTGACCTGATAGCTCAGAAAAAAAAATCTAATTTTCTCTCTACAGTCCTTGTTGCCCCTTTAAGCATATGCATAATGTCTAATATGGAGTGATTCCAATAAATAGTTTCTTAGACATAACAATTCATATAGGCATTCATAGCCTTGCCCAAGTCGGCCTCTTACTTATCTTGATTTCTATCCCATTGTGAAAGATATGACCGTCTAAAATCACTTGCCATACTGTACATGGACCTTTAATTTCATGTTTTTGCAGCTGTACATTTTGGTAATAATTCAAGATCAGATAAGTAAAAAATACCGACTTGGTGGAAGCAAAGGTACATATTTGATCATAGAAAGTGACACAAATATATCATTTATGCAATAAAAGTACATCTTTCCTGTTTTGTATGAAAAATCAACAAAAATATATTATGTAAAAAGTTAAATTAGCATCGTTCTTCTTGGATTCATTGAACAACAAGAGACAACCTCATCAGAGAATCAGAGAACGACGCAAAGCTAAACGTCCATCATACCAGTTATATATGAATGCATATAGGTACAAAACATACTAATAATGTGTACAAACATATCAAAATACCATTTCATGCTACCAAGAATCAACTGATATACCAACAACATAATACCTTAAACCGGCCATTTGTATCTTAACCCAATAATACACCACAACCCGATCGGGCGCAGCCCGCAACTCGAAATATATATAAACTATTTTAACCAAACATAACCTAGTTCACCAATCATACAACAGAACAATAGAACATAGCCCAGTGACAAAATACACAAAACGTGATAGAGCAAGCAGAAACGTCTCGAATAAATAAAAATTAAATTCCCGGGGCAAATATATTCGTCCAGTGTAGCGAATAAACTGGCCGGAAGTCGTCTGAGTTTTGAAAGAAAAAATAAATAAATGTCAAAATAATGTCAACTAAATATTACGCCATTATGCCATTGATACCTCGCTTTCTGAATTTGAGACAATCAATGGACAGGTAAACTAAAACTGATTTAATATTGCGGTCAGATAATAATAATTGCCACAATATGCATTTTGGTCCATCAAGGTATTACACCTAGAACTGAGACTTGAGTATTGTGTAATGGGTTAAGTGTAATCTAACTTGAAACTCTTTAATTACATTTATCTATAGCCGCAAAAGATCAATTAATCTATATTGATCTCCACCGGTCTTATCTTTATGGGGTTTATGTAGTAACGACATGAAACTGATAAAATCAGAGTACGCATTTTGTAGTTGCTAATGAACATTCATCTTCAGAATATGCCTATTGCCTATCCATCTGATTTAACAATACCTCATTGTTATGGAAAATAATCCGGGAGATTAGTATGTTCGGATCCACATTGGAGGCCGATGGATTACCATTTATAGCTGCCCGAATACTGAATTGCTTAATCCCGGGGAACATTTATTTAACTGTGTACAGATTAATGATTTGTGCTTACTTTATTTTGATCATTTTAATTAAAGCAAATATAATTATCTGGTTTGATTCGGGATTAAGAGTATCCTCTTGATTAATGCTGGCTTCCATTTCAAGCCCATGTGCAGTTTTTAAACGAAGTTTGATTTTCTTATCATTTAAATATGTTTTCTCATCACTCGTTAGACTTCAAATATTTGATGTGCAATCATTACACACTCTACTGTTAATGTTTCATTTTCTCTACGGCCATTAAAAAGGTTCGGAAAAAGTAACACCAATTTTTATGCATATCCTCAACTATATATTTTTTATATTTTTGCGAAGAGTTCTGTGATGTCACCACATAAAGTCGTGATACACGAAGTTAGTGGTTTACTTTAATTTTTGTCACATTAGGCCCAATCTTTTCCCAACTATAACATTCTGTATGTTAAAAATACAATAATTCACGTTTGACTTTGTTGAAAATGCATCAATTTTTTGTTTTTGGTTTCAATGCGAATGAGTTTTTAATTCTTTTTTCAAAATTTGTAACACTTGTGGCTCTTAATATCAACCAATTCTTTCATTGTGAAAGATCTTGTTCGCTCTGTAGTAGAATAACACACGGCTTATAAACTAATTCCCATCGGACCTCCAAAATTTTAGTTTGAGAAAAAGATATATTACATTTAACATTTTCGAACCAAAGATATTTTTTGAAATGAAAAATACATATTGTGTCTTGAAAACATTGAATAGAACTTGCAATTTTGTAAACTTTTTTCTGGGCAAAATATGACGTTATTATTCTGTGATAACATCGAACGTGAATATTTCTTGCAAGAACTTCATGATGATACCAAAATATAATCATCCACAACATGTTGTTGTTCTAGAGTACTTCACACATTAGGATGCCAATTGCAATTGTTAATCCATAAAACATTTTATTGCATAACAAACCTACATTTGTATAAATTATATTTGAATAAATTATTCCATGCGCTTTGAACATACCTTAAGGTTTTTGCTGTCACTATGTCCACGTGGATTGATCCAATGATGCGAATACTGAAAAGAACGATATCAAAAACAGTTGATCTTTATAATCTTCGTCTATGTAGCACAAGTATCCACAAGAATGTCTACAGGTAATGAAAGCTCGAACTCGATTTAGTCGATTTAGTTTTCAGCGTGCGTGAGTGGGATTTGTCGGGTGATTAAGGAGACTAACGGGGAATGATGGATGATAAAAGGGATGAAAATTTGGACACGAGCTGTAATGCTCACTTTCCGAGTTGAAAAGCTTTTGGATTTGGTTGACGTGTTGTAGACCTCAGAACATGAGTTACATGACTAGCTAGTCCATTTGTGTAAAACATTTAATAACGACAGATATATTCAGAATGATTTAATGCCGTCAAAAAATGTCGTGAGATTAAAAAACAGCTATACTTACTTTACTGCCCAAGTACTTTTCGAACTTCTGAATTATCCGTGATTTCCTCTTACCTGATTAATTGTATTTAGAGTTGAACTTACATGTACGTTGACTCGTTTTAAATCATTGTCATTGTTAGTCACTTTAGCTGTAAGTTACTCATCGATCTCTGTTTGAGATCGAGATCAGCTTTATGAAGAGAGAGACTATTTGCACAATATGAGTTGGTCCTGCATGCATTTACACAGAATAACCCAGGTGCGAATAAGAAGTTACCAGTTGCACCACCAGGCCCAGGCGTCTCATTCGGGTCAGATAGCATGGCGGTGGTTCAATTTTCATATCGCCCTTATGCATCTAATACCTATGCAAATTGAAATATGTCCAGTAAAAGAAAATATAATCTATCCAATACAGAAAAGATATTTCACTTTTTGTGAGTTTATAACATGGGGTCTATGGGGTATGGTGTTAAAATTGTATCACAATTGGACATCTCTAACACATTGAATAAGCGTCTAGCAGAATACATACACAACCCATGTGATTTCATACACGGTTTGTTCGAGTTTGCGCAGTCTATGTCTGTAAAAACGAGTTTGCGTATTTGTGGATGGATTGTTTAAAATGACCTCGAACAGAGTACAGACACGTCGCAAAAAGTTCGCGCACGTATTGTTACACATTTTCGCGTTTTAACACCACAGAATGTGACGTTTTTTGAGAAAAATGTACACATATGGAAATCCTTTCGTCCTCCACATTTGCCTCTATATCTCAAAATATTTAAGGCGGATAATAAACTCTGATATCGTAAATGTATTAACAATGGGTTAGGAGCATCATAAAACACGAATCAGTTGATATTTTAGGTGAAATAAATATACGTGTTGCTGTGCTTGAAAATAGGCGAATGGCGTAAATTAGCCCTATTCTAATGAATTTTGAAAATCTTTCGTCCTCCACTTTTCCACATACAACAGAAAACACATACGTTTGCGAACAAAATCAACTATTTATTAATAAACTAGAGTTTAAGAGCAAAATAATCATGCACGATTTATTAAAAATTGATCTCGTATTTTTTGTTTAATGTACACCTGAAAAGACGAAGGTTACAAAAAATGAGCAAAAAAGGTCGCTGTCAACAGATTCTATTTTTCAAACTCTATGACGTTACAATATGGGACGCTTACTAAAATTCATCCTTTGAAATAAAACTTCCATCTACCTTTATCAAGACGAAAAATAAGTATAATAGTCATATATTGTTTGAGTTATGAGCGTTTAAAGACGAAAAATAATTCAAAATGTAACGTGTCAACAGGGGATATTTGCCAGATGTTTTTTGAAAACGAACGCGTAAATATTGTGAACAGAGTGTAGTTGATCTAAAAGCTTTATCGAAACAGCTTTAAAATGATATATAACTTTAATTAGAATATTATCTTATAATCCGGGGAATCAAAGTTACTTTCACGCGAAACCCTTAAAAAACAAATGCGCCACCTTTTTGCGACACGTCACACAAGTCGAACAAAATGCTTATATGGCTCAAACAAACGTGTGTGAAGCTTCAAGTGTTCTGGACTACCCAAGTATTCCGACTCTTGCCGAAGTATTCTGACTTGGCCCAAGTATTCTGGGTTTACTTATTTTATCAAATACACTCGATACGGTTATTTTTGGTCTAATATCAATTTTAGGTTTCTACAGAGGTGACTGACGAAATTAAGCTAATGAAACCACTTATAATGTGGCTGCCTCGTGCACAAAAGGCTTTCCATTTATTCATATAAACTAACAGGGTACCCATTGGGGAATGTAAAATCCCCGGTTGTTCGACTTTTGCACCATGGGACACTCCTGAGCAATAGCAATATTTAGACAGAATATATCAATATATTTAGGCTGGGTCTCAATTTCAGCATTTTTGGAAAATGGGCATTTTGAAAAAAGGGCCTCGATTTAAAAAAAGGGTCCATATTTTTAAAAATTCAACGAGCCAACATTTTAGGACTGTCTTTTTCATCCTAGCATTTTCCAACAAAATTTTATTTTTTGAACCCTCTCTTGTGAATTATAAGATATGATAAAATAAGCGATCTCGGAACACTTGGGTTGTCAGAACAGTTGGGCAAGAGTCAGAACACTTGGGTAGCCCAGAACAGTTGGGCTTCCACAAACGTGTTTCCGATCACAAACCATGATGTGAAGATCACTCAGCTTGATGTAACATTAGTTGGTTTCTAGAAATGTTCGCGATTTTGTGTGACTTTTGACTTTCAATGGAGGGCGCCGTATTGTAGAAACCAGGATGTAAATGTCACGTGACTTCAAATCTCGCACCCTATGTGAGGTGGAAGTTGTTTTTTAACAGCCTATGCGCATGCGTGTGTAAAATTGACAGAAATTTACTTTGATAGAACTAGTGCGTGTGTGAATGAAAATAAGTTATGGAAGAAAACTAACTGTTAGATTCTCACATTTTCCAAAAAAAAAATTCAAAGTTTTCAATTTTCAAAACCATAATTCAAGGCGTACTTTTACAAGTAGATTTTAAATATGACATCACTTTTGCTGAATTTTGAATATTTAATAACGTAAATCAAGATTATTCCTACTCGCATCGAGTCTAATGTTACATTTAATCCTTGAAACGGTTATCTTAATTGATACTATAGTAAATGAGAGCAATTGATGATACCAATACATATAAGTACCGAGACATTGCTATATTTACTCAATGACTAGTCGACATACAATAACTGTATAGAGTTCAAATAAGTGAATTTTTCAAACAGTCTTGTATATGCCAAATTACAAGCAACTAAGAACCAATCAGATTTGAGTATTTTAATGAGGTGCATAATAAATGTATTTATTATGCAATATCCATCTTACATTAGGTGCAATATATCGTATTAAATGAAATGATTGACAATATGATTCCATGAACTGCTTATTTATGCCAAACTGATTATAAGAGTTATGAATTGATATCATTGGTTATTATGTATAAATCTTTACCAGAGACATTATATGTCTCTGTCTTTATGAATGTTGACCCAAGCTGCCTCTGTCTTTATGAATGTTGACCCAAGCTGCCCATTGGGGGTAGTAATGGGTGACACTCAGATATAATGTACTGTGTCTCATAAGTCGGCACCGGCTGGTGATGTTACAAAATGTTGTTTTTATTATGTATTTTATATGTATATTGTAATATCAGTGGCACAAAAATAAACTATTTTAAACTAAACTAAAACTGTAACTAGAATCCAGGAGAAGAAAATCTGAAAGACTTTTTTGAAGAAAATTTGCAGATTTGGACCACACTCGTAAATATGACTTCATTGGGTTTATATAGTGTCGTATATGTGCTTCTTTGGATTATTAATTTAGTAATAGAATATTGTATAATAGGATATCTCTGCTCTTTTCTGAAAACTGCCGGATATTTTTTTAATATCTGACCCTTTCGAGAAAAAGGGTCGGATATTTTTTTCAATGTTTTTGCAACATTCCCACTTCAGAGTTTTATTTCTTAATTACTGGAGTACTACTTAAAGCTTACATCTGAAACTGGCGGAAAATAGAAGAAAAAATGCACTTAATCAATCACAATTACCCTTATCATTCAAAAGTTACATATAATTCTGCAAGAACGTCTCGAATACATATACATAAAAATTAAATTCCCGGGGCAAATATTTTCGTCCAGTGTAGCGAATAAACTGGCCGGAAGTCGTCTGAGTTTTGAAAGAAAAAAAAGTAAATGTCAAAATTATGTCAACTAAACTGTAAGTACTCCACTTAACTTTGATTGGGAGGTGCATAATAAAATAAATACTGGATGATCAGGAGCTGGCTATGGCCAGAATACCTATTCAAGAAAAAATATTGGGCGAGGCGGCATAATATTGCACTAAATATGAGTAGCATGTTGCATATGGTCAAATATTACAATAAATACAAATATTGCACGAAATGTGAATTGCATAATGCATATGGTAGAAGACAGATATTACAATAAATACATACATTGCACTAAATGTGAGTAGCATGTTGCCTCTGGTCAAATATTACAATAAATATGAATATTGCACTAAATGTGAAATACACAATGCATATGGTTGAAGACAAATATTACAATAAATACATTTATTATGCACCTCATTAAAATACTCAAATCTGATTGGTTCTTAGTTGCTTGTAATTTGGCAATACTCTGCTCTTTTCTGAAAACTGCCGGATATTTTTTTAATATCTGACCCTTTCGAGAAAAAGGGTCGGATATTTTTTTCAATGTTTTTGCAACATTCCCACTTCAGAGTTTTATTTCTTAATAACTGGAGTACTACTTAAAGCTTACATCTGAAACTGGCGGAAAATAGAAGAAAAAATGTGCTTAATCAATCACAATTACCCTTATCATTCAAAAGTTACATATAATTCTGCAAGAACGTCTCGAATAAATAAAAATTAAATTCCCGGGGCAAATATTTTCGTCCATTGTGGCGAATAAACTGGCCGGAAGTCGTCTGAGTTTTGAAAGAAAAAATAAATAAATGTCAAAATAATGTCAACTAAACGACAGTTTAAGCCTGTATTCCAGTAAGTACTCCACTTAACTTTGATTGGGAGGTGCATAATAAAACAAATACTGGATGATCAGGAGCTGGATATGGCCAGAATACCTATCCTCGAAAAAATATTGGGCTCGGCTACCGCCTCGCCCAATATTTTTTCTCGAATAGGTATTCTGCCATATCCAGCTCCTGATCATCCAGTATTTGTTTAATATTGCACTAAATGTGAGGTGCATCTTGCATAATAAATATATATATTACACTAGATGTGAATAGCATGTTACATATGGTCAAATATTACAATAAATATGAATATTGCACTAAATGTGAGATGGATATTGCATAATAAATACATATATTGCACTAAATGTGAGTTGCAAGTTATCAAATATTGCAATAAATACATTCCATAATACTACTGTTTTCCCAGGGAAATATGAAGGAATAAAAATCGTATTGAATCATATTACATGAAAAAATCGTATTGTCCCCGGGAAAAAAATCGTATTGGAGCGTATTACATGGAAAAATCGTATTGTCCCCGGGACAAAAATCGTATTGGAACGTATTAACCTATTTTTGGTTTTCCCGGTTATTTTTAACCTTGACTAATAGATAAAAGCATTATCCAAATGTAACATTTTAATGAGGAATGTATTATGGAATAAATAGGTTATTTCTGGTCGGGATTGAATATGGGTTTTATTCCTCGGAAAATATGATATTGACC